ATATATTAATAAATCACAATTAATCCTCTTTCCCCATTATTCATCCTATCAGTTGCTAAGGTGAAGGCAGCCCAAAAGGACCATGCTTATAATCGGGTCAAGTACATACCAAAATAGTTATGGGCTTAGACACCTATTCCAACAATCACTACTTCAACTAGTGTACTGCATATACTAAATGGGCCGACCTAGGTGCCTTATACCCATTGGTATGGTGAGGAGACTCACCTCGAATGCAGAAGCTTCCCGAATGACATCCTTAGTTGCTGCCCCGCCGACTTCCCGATCTGTCAATACCAATCAGTATACCCAATTAGCAATTGAGTTCCATACTATAATCCTTAATCCATACATGGGGTAAAATGACCATTCTACCCTTGGCCCAGTATGAACCAAAACTGAGGCCCAAGCCCAAAACAAAAGCCTAACACTATAATGTCCATAAATCCATCAATGGCCCAATTTTCCAAATCGGGCCCCAACCCCTTACGGGCCTTACTCTAATCCTATAATCTCCTGCATTATAATTTGGTTTACTCCAAGCACCCCTTGGGACTAACTTGCCCAAAGTCAAAGGTCAAATTCGAAGTCAACAATCAAGGTCAACAGTCCATGTTGACCCAACTCGTCGAGTGCATCTAGCAACTCGTCGAGTTCCTTTAGTGTTCAGAAAACCAGGAAAAACCCTAGCCAACTCACCGAATTATCTCATCAGCTCGCCGAGTTTGCTCGGTATCCAGAAAGCGGGAAAACCTGACCCAACTCGTTGAGTTGGCAGGGCAACTCATCAAGTTTCCCCTGTCTCAACATATTCAGTCCCTTTCCTGTCAAATCTAAAGCCCCAAACTACGGATCCAACCCCCTAGGGTTAAGATACCACGTAAAGTTGCTAACTTTACATCAATGCAAGGCATCAAAGGCTAAAAACACTTAATCAAAGCTTGTCAAGGGACTTAGAGCATGAAGGAGGGCCAAGACTTGATAAAGTTGGCAACTTTAAGTCCCCAAAGGCCCTGAGATGTCCAGATCTAACGCCATATCTTCATATCATGCTCAAAACCAAGAATGGTACCAAACTAGGCTAATAATGGCCATAAACTTTCATAGAAGAAGATCTAAGCAATGGAAGGTCAAAGTTTCGACTTTATACCTTAAAATGGTTGCCACATCAGAGTAAACACCGGATCTACAACCTCTCCCTTCAGCTATGCACCAACCACTTCAAGCTTCTTCACATAAACACCAAAAGGCACTCTTTAAGCCCTCACACACTCAAAATGGGAGATGAGACACGATTTAGGGTTTCTCTGGACAACGGGGGTGAAAAGGGAGGCTACAGTTGAGGCTTAAGGCCTTTAAATAGGGTGCAAACCCTGAAAATTAGGGTTTTCCTTTCAAGTGTCTACTCCTCGAGTTGGGGCCTTCTAACTCGTCGAGTAGACCCTTCATTCCGCGTCCAAAATGATCTCTACTCGACGGGTTGGAACTCCCCAACTTGTCGAGTTCCAGCCCAAAAGTCTAAAAATGTTGAAAACTGAAAACACATAAACCAAGCGTTACAAAAGACACGCTGAGAAACATCAATGAAATCCAAATCGGGTGGAAGGTGTTTTCTGGTGGTTAATGTGATGTGTATATCACCTCCAACTTGAATGAAATTGAAGAAAGCTCTGATCGAAAAGAAGAAGAAAATGGAGAAATTGGTGAAGATGGAACTGGAATATGGGAATCTGATTCCGGGAGAGGAGAATTTATGTCTTCAAATGGGCCTTGGTTATCATTGAAGTTGAATTATGAAAAAGTTTCGAATGCTTGGTCGGATAAAGGGTCATCGTTGCCGGAGGAAATATCCAGATATGCTTGCTATGAAGTTGGAGAAATGGTTGTCGATGTAGAAACCCATTAGGAATCTTCACAGGGCCGAATGCATAAATCTCCGATGCGTTTAACACTTGGAGAGAGAGAGAGAGAGAGAGAGAGAGAGAGAGAGATGAGTTTGATTTTTTCATTATTCAAAATGTAAAAATGTCATTTAATCCATCTTTAACCGGTGAAACAGAAAAAAAAATAAAACTCAATACCCATTTTAACCGGTCAATTCTAAGTTTAAGGACTTATACTATAAAAAATACGAAAGATATTTTAAAAAAAATTTGAAAGTTGGTTGGGAGAGTGATATCAACCTTAACCATGATATAGAAAAAATGAAAGGTGAAAATATAATCCACATAATATTTTAATGTAATAATTATAATAAATATAGTAATAAATGGATATCAATTTCATTAATGAACTTACCTTTTAATTTCAAAATTCTCAAAATTAAAGCTTAGTTTCTTTTATTTATTTAAATTATTTGTTTAAATTTAAAAGATAAAAAAACATTTCCATTATAATAATTTATTATTTTTTTTATTTTTTTATAAATTCAAAGTTTTCAAATATTTTGAACTTATATTTAATTTTTTTTTAAATTAACCTATATTATATGAGTAGTGAAATTAATATTTCTTTTAAATGGACAGCTTTTTCTAAGTGGCATGCATGACAAGTCCCATAATTAATTTTCTCAAAAAATTCCGATACCAAAAGTTTATTGACTAAATAATGTCCACTACATAAGTTCCAAGAAATACGAATATTACATAATTGCCAAACTTAAAACTAGAAAAGCTTAGCTTATAGGGCTATGGGGATCAACTCCATGGATAGAAAGATGTCGATGTCCGAGTCAAAGGCAGTAAAACCAGGGCCAAGGTATAGACGTGTAATCATCAGGTCAACCCAATCACTCCATTTATACCTCCTTCTACTTCCACATACCACCACAAAAATCATCGTTTATACCTCTTCTCCAAATCCCAGATATCTATCACAACATTCACCAACATGTCGAACAACATGAGTGCCGGACAAGCCTATGGCCATGCTGAGGTATATATAT